CTGGAGAAGTGGGCTTGAGGGTCACGGGGCCTGGCGCACTGCTCTGTGGAGCCTCCTGACGGTGAGGTGCCCACAAGCTCTCCCACCCCTCAGGTGGGAGTGGCACAGACCAGAGGGTGGTCGAGGCCCTCGTGGGACTCGGACCAGCATGGACCGCACCGCACTTCAGTGGGGCTCACAGGGATTTCAGGACAGACTCAGGGTAGTCAGGCTGGGTTGGGTGTCACCTCACTCGTTGATCTGGGTGAGCCAGTAGGTGGTCGACCAGACCGGCCTCGGGTGGGGAAGGAAGCCAGCCCAGGGACCTCGATCACCACCTCAGTCACCAGTGCACTGAGTGAAACCCGAGTATTTATTTCAAAGAAGCTGTGTCGGAGGGAGGGCTGGTCTCCTGGCATTTGTGGAGCCTGTTGCTTTCCAGGAGGATGGTCTGGGAGAAGAGCCAGGAGCTGCTGGCCGGCATCCAGATCTGGGCTGGATTACACGGCTGGGCTTGCCCAGAGCAGTAAGTCCCCACCACCACTAGCCCTGCCTGAAGGATCGGGCCAGAGAGGTCATGGAGGCCAGGGTTGTTCCCAGAGGAGCAGCAGGAGCAGCCTGGGCCCCCAGAGCAGGCTGCATGATGGGCCCCACCTTGTGGCTTCCAGCCAGAAGCTCCTCGCTGCCTCAGGGTGGTGGAGGAGCTGGGTCACCCCTGGGCCCTCACTGAGTCAGAAGGACACAGCCCAGGTGCAGCCCTGCTGTGACAGGCGGGTGGTGGAGGTGGGGAGAATGAGGGTGGAGGCGTGGACCAAGGCCGCCCTCCTTGGCTCCGTGTGGAGGGCAGCACTGCTGCGAGTGGCACCCCGGCTCCTGCCTGGGAACGGGAGTACCGTGTCTGTTCCCAGGGGTAGGGAGGGTCTGGCTGCAGCTCTGGAGTCACACTTTGAGTCCTCTCTCTGCCACTCACTCCTGTGACCTTGGCAAGTTGCTCACCCCCAGAACCTTGTCTTAGTGACTATGGAGGTAGAGGTAACACCTCGGTCTTCCCAGGGGCTGTCACCAGGCAGATCGGTGCAGCTCGAGGTGTGGCCTGCACAGTATTGAAGGGGAGAGGGGCTCCTGCCCTGTGGGCTCGGGGAGGCCTCATGGACGGGTCCTCGGGTGAGTAGAGAAGAGGCCGTGGGGTGGGATGGACAGAGTGCTGGGCTTGTGGGTGTGCAGCCTTGGTGGTCGGGTGGGGGGCTGCTTGTACCTTCAGGGCAGAGGCAGTGCCGCACCTGTGCAGGCCACCCCTGGAGCACCAGGTGACCACGGCAGCGGGGGTTGGCAGAAATGAGAGCCGAGCCTGTCATGTCTGGGGCAGTGGGCAGGTCCCCTGCTCTTAGCTGGGTGATGCACTCTTACTTCTGAGTGGGTGTTCCTTTACCAGGAGGTAGTTAAGGTGGACGAACAGTCTCATGTTGGGTGCTTTAGGGTAGGCTGGGCAGGAGCTTATCCTGGCCCCCAGCACAGCTCCAGGCCTCCCTAGAGAAGGCCCCCTCTGGGGAACTGAGGGAGGGTCTCTAGGGACGAAGGTGGGGTGAGGAGGTTTCCAGAAGATCTGGGCGATGAGGCCTGCCCAAGGAGGGGTTTGGGGATGCCTCTTCCTGTCCTCCGCCTTCCTCTCTGGGGCCTTCCATCCTGGCTGAGCATAGGCTGCAGGGAGTTTACTGAAATCAGGCACATTTTAGTCAAGGTGCCTGAGCTCACCTCAGTGGGGGTGCATCCCAGCCCGAAGGAGGTCAGGTGCTGAGTGAAGGGACAGCGTTCTCCTGGGGGCGCCATTCACGAGGGTTCGAAGTGCCAGCTGTGAACAACACTGGGAGTGCGGCCCCCCACTGGTGGGGTTCTAGGTGGGCGTGGGGTGTCAGCCTGGTCTCCAGAGGGTGCCCCTTGGAGGTCAAATGACCGGAGCAGTTCGGAGTGCCAGGCACTCCTGTGGGCATCGTAAGTGTCCAGACTAAGTCAGGGCAGCTCCTGTCAGAATTAGGAGGAGGGGGAGGACTCGTTCTGGGCTTTCTGTGTAAGCAAGGGTTACTTTCCTCTTAAAACCTCCTCTCGTGGCCCCTGAAAAGTATGGGGCTGGAGCACACTCTGCTTTTTGTGGGTAGTAGGGAGAGAGGCCTCCAGGTGGCCCTGTTCTCGCCTTCTGTGTGCACTGCCTAAGGTGGATGGGGCCTTGTGGGTAAGTGGGGGCCTCACGGGGTGTTGCTGCTCCGTGGGTTAGGGAGTCGTGGTCCCACCTCTGCCATCCTCATTGGCTGTTCAGCTGATGTGCGTTTGAGGCTCGGTATTGGGATCACACCAGTACCAAGGGATATTGCTCAGGGGATGGGTGGCTGACCAGAGGGGTGCCTTAAGCTTAGGTCTTCCTGGAGACAGACAGGGAGGGGCCAGGAGGGACAGGGATCTTCTGCCACAGTCACTCTGACCTCATGGGCCACTTCCCTTGTGCCAGCAGGCTCATGAGGCTGAACTGGTGCCCTTGGGAGGGGGTGTCACATCGAAAGCCACAGATGACACGTTCCTCCACACTGCTGGCCCAGGCCTTTCTGCCTTGTGGGGTGTGGTGGTGAGCAGTGGGGGTGAGTGTTGGGGCAGAGGCTTCATGTGCAAAGAGAGTGGGGGAGGTGCAGAGCACACAGTCTCCCTCCCTCCGGCCTCCCTCCCCCTCCCCGACCTCCTGGGAGTGCCAGGGGCCCAGAAACCATGTGAGCAGCAGCCAGTGGGGGTGTCGACCATCCTGTAAACAAGGACTGGGAAGGTGATTCAGGTCCTCAGCCTGGCCTCTGTTCATTCCCCCACACCCTTTGTGTTCATAAGAGGGCAGAGCTGGCCCCCAGGGACTTGTGTTCCTGCCCTTCCCTGCCAGTGTCAGCCCACTGGGAAACACCTATCCAGCTACCTGCAGCTGGCCAGGTGTAGGCCCTAGAGGAGAACCTGACTGCCCCACTGCCCCAGATCCTGGGTTCCCTGGAGCCAGTGCTCTGGGTGGGCAGCTGGCCTGAGCTGGGCGTGGATCCTTGGGGCTGACAGGCACACTGCCTGGGCCTGCTGCCTGGGCGCCAGGTGGTGTCCTCGTTCTAGCCCACAGAAGCTCCTGCCAGGGCTGGGCACCGGTGTCCAGACCCAGCGGGGCATTTTGCTTCCAGCTTGCTGGTCCGGTCCCCACAGTCATGTTTCTGCTCACCTGGCAAAGGTGAGCCTCCTCCACCCCCAGGCGGTGGCTCTCCAGGATGGGTGCTTGCTGTTCCCACGCCCGGCAGAAAGTGGAAGGGCAGAAGTCGCCGGCTGTCTTCATTTCCCTTGGAAGAGAAGAACAGCAGGGGCCCCACCTCACCTGTGCTGAGGTTGTTCTGTTGTTTACAGAACAGTGGTGGCCCAGCCTGGGGTGGGTGCCTGGTGGGGCAGCATCATGCAGGCAGCTCTGCTGGGCCCCACCCAGTGGAGGGTGCAGCCAGGCTGGCTCTGCCCTTTTCTGCTCAGCATCTCTGTGTGGAGAGGTCTGTCACTGCTGACCCAGCCCAGGAGACTGTGGTCAGCCACTTGGCTGTCCCCAGGCTACTGGAGTGCCTGGCATGGCTGGGCAGCAGGTGCCCACAGAGAGCCCTGAGTCTTGTTCTGCCACCCACTCCCTGACCTGTCTGGCCAGCAGTTGCTGCCCTGATCTCTGAGCAGGGCGAGCAGCCCCCTAGTTGCAGGGTGTGGCACGAGCTGAAGTGGAGGCCACTGGGTAGACGCTCTGCCTGGGCAGCGCTTAGATTGTCCTGAGGCCCAGAGAGGAGCAGGCTGGGAGGCACGGGCAGTGTCACAGGTATCTGGTCATCTGTGCCTTCCTGTCTGTTCTTACTCCAGTGTCTCAGTGGTCTCTGCTCTCCTTCCCAGGGCTGTGCTCAGCTCTGCTCTGCTGGTTGTCTCTGAACTCCACACAGGTATTAAATGTGGACGGTTCAGACAGCTGGACCTACAGAGCTGGTTCTGTTGCCCTCTGGGCCATTGGTGGGATACTGGACCAACTGCCCGGACCAACTGAGTGCCCCTCCCCCGGGCCACCTCTGTGAGAGGGGAGTTGTGCTAGGGGCCAGAGAGACAGCTGGCAGGCTGGAGTTGAGGCCTCCCAGCCACCCGCACCCCCGGGTCTGGTCACATTCCTGAGGGACCTGCTGAGCCTCCCTGGCCCTGGGGGCGGGGGAAGGACAGGCAGGGATGGGCTGCAGGCTCCTACAGGCCTCCTCCCCCACCCTGGCTTCATTCCAAGGGAGCCCAGGTCTTCTGGAGTGGTGTACAAGAAGCTGGAATCTCAGGACCCCACTCTCTTGTGACCTGGGGGCAGTTGGGGGCAGAGGGAGCCCACCCGCATCTGGTAGCAGCTGCCAGTGTCTTTAGCAGGCTGGTATTGAAAGGCCCAGCTTTCGAAAACTACAAGAGGAGGCCATGTGGTCAGGCTGGGCCTTCTGGGCAGGAGGGGGCAAGAGCAGATCTGGAATGGAAGGAGGCAGGAGAGGCAAAAGCGGTTGAGACTGGTTCTTATAAATAGCCCACTGCACCAGTGCCTCCAATTTTGACCTTTTGTTATGTAAATGTGGCCAGTCTGGGAAGGGCCTTGCCCAGGCCTCCTGCTGCCAGGCCTCCTGTTGCCACGCCTGCCATGAACTGTGTGCCTGCCCTGGCTCCCCAGACCTAGGTGGTCCTCGGAGTACCCTGGAGCTTCTTGGTGGGAGGAGGCTGCCGGGCCTTCGAACTCCCTAGACCTGCCACCTTCCTTAACTGCCACCGGGCCTGTCTGCAGGGCACTATGGCCACTGCCTCCTTCCCAGCTAGCTGCCCCTGGCAACCCCCTGAGAAACCCCCTGAGAAGCCCCCTGACCTTCTTGGGAACAAGGGCTCCAGGGCTACCAGGCACCTTCTACTTCACTGTCCTGTCCCTCCCTCTGTCCCTCGATGATGGCTCTCTCGGTGACCGTGTCCATCTTCTCCAGGTGACCAGGCATTGATGCACCCCCAAGGGAGGCCACGTGCTCAAGGAGGCCACCCCCACTGGCTGCTGCTCACATGGTTTCTGGGCCCCTGGCACTCAGGTAGGTTGGGAAAGGGGGGCTGGCAGAGCCAGAGGCGGGGTGAGGGAGGCTCAGGGGAGAGAGGACTTTGTCCACCTGTTCCTTCACTGGGAGCTTTCCGGGAGGCCCACACAGCCCTGCAGCTCGCAGCCTATGTCCTGGCCTGCGGTCCTTTGTGAGCACGCAGCACCAAGCGCACAGAGGGGAGGCTGGGACCCACTGTCCTGGGGCTAGGGAGGAGGGGCCGCTGTGGGCTCGTAGGCTCTTGGAGGATGGGACCTCCTGCCGTCCCCAGTCCTTTCGACAGGCTCAGAGCACCAGGAGTCCTGGGTGCTGCCGGAGCTGACCTTGCATGTCCCTAGGGCCAGGTATCCTGGCCCGCTGATGTGGAAGCCATGCCTGGGGCTCTTTATCCCTGCCAGGCTGGCTGTGGGGCAGGGAGTAGGGGAGGGGTGGCTCCCAGGGAACCTGGGCTCTGGCCTCTGAGCCCCAGCTGAGCAGCCTTGCAGGGCCAGGCTGGACTACAATGTTTGCTGCCTCCTGTTGTCAGGCCCTCGGTGCAGCCTGACACCCACCTGCATGTGCTCACCAGTAAGCTCCAAAGCCGCCTTTGGGGTGGGAGTGATTGCTAGGGTTTTATTTTTCAATCTTCACAAACAACGGCACCTGTGGGGCAAGGAGGAACATTTGTGTTTCAGGGAGATGGGGCTGGAACAGTCCCTCCAGGCTTCGCCCCTGGTGGGAGCGGGGGGTCCCAGGTATGGTAAGGCTCAGAGCACTGTTACTTTCAGAGACTGAAAGTAGCTTTTTGCCAACCCCCGCCCATCCGTGTGGTGCAGGGTTGTCTGGAAGGTTTTGTGTTCCCCGAGGGCCTGGCAGGGGGCGCCAGGCAGGGAGCCATGGCCTTGTGCTGCAGACCCTGCCTCTCAGTGCGGTGGGCACACGGTGAGCACACTGCAGCACAGCCAGCCTCCAGGCTTCCCGATGAGACCAGAGCCTCTGCAAGTTTTGTATTTAACGACATCAGTTGGTATCTGTGCCGCTCTGTCGAGGCCAGCTGGCCGTCTTTCCCGTGTCCAGACGTGCTGCCTTGCCTTGGCCAGAAAGGAGTCAGGGCCCTGACATGCCAGGGCCTTGGCTGGCCACATTTTCTGCTCAGCACCCAGAGACCCAGACCAGGAAGTGCTCTGCACCTCCTGAGGACAAAGTACTTGCAGGTTGGGTACAGGCAAGGGACAGCCACAAGGGACAGCAGGCAAGGGGGCTACAGTGCTTGGGGGGCCTGTAGGGTGGTTTAAAGAGGCCTCTGGGGTGGAGCAGAGGTTGCAGACAAGAGGCTGCATATTTGATTTGGCCCATGTGGCGTTTAAGAAAAAGAACCTTCATTTAACACCGGGAGATTTCACGCTTGTCCCCAAAGCTGTGTGGCTGCATATTCACATGGCAAGTTGGTCCTCCCAGGGCTTCTTAGTCCCAGCCACTTCCCAGCATCGTAGTCGTCTGCTGGTCATTGTTAGGTCCCTTGTGGGCATGTGGTTGACTTCCTTTAGTGCACAGATGATCCCTGGGCTGTGGAGTCCAGTTCAGCCCCAGTTTCTCTACTTCTGTTTTCTCATCAGTACAAATGGGGCCAGTACCCTTTCTCTGGCAATTTCAGTCCTGGGTGATGAGTGTGAGTCCCCTTCCTGTGTACTGTGCCTGAGGAGGTGGCCAGTGGCCAGGTCAGCTCAGAGGCCTCTCTGTGTGCCACTGTGCCCCTCCACAGGCCTGGAGTCTTTGCATGAGGGTCCTGGTCAGGTAACTCTTGAATGCCTGTTCTTGCAGGTGGTACGCGTGGGCAGGGCGTGGGGACATGGGGCCCGACATGGAGCTGCCCAGCCACTCGAAGCAGCTCCTGCTGCAGCTGAACCAGCAGAGGACAAAGGGCTTCCTGTGTGATGTCATCATCATGGTGGAGAACTCCATTTTCCGGGCCCACAAGAATGTCCTGGCTGCCAGCAGCATTTACTTCAAGTCCCTGGTCCTGCACGACAACCTCATCAACCTGGACACAGACATGGTCAGCTCCACCGTGTTTCAGCAGATCCTGGACTTTATCTATACGGGCAAGCTGCTGCCCAGCGACCAGCCGGCCGAGCCCAACTTCAGCACTCTCCTCACTGCCGCCAGCTACCTCCAGCTGCCCGAGTTGGCAGCCCTCTGCCGCCGCAAGCTCAAGCGAGCTGGAAAGCCCTTTGGCTCTGGACGGGTGGGAGCCTCTGGCATGGGGCGACCCTCTCGCAGCCAGCGGCTGTCCACAGGTTCCGTCATCCAGGCGCGGTATCCGGGGCTCCTCGATGGGCGCAAGGGGGCCCATACCTCCCAGGAACTCCCCCAGGCCAAAGGCTCGGATGATGAGCTCTTCCTCGGCAGCTCCAACCAGGAGAGCGCACTTGGCCTGGGCCGGGCTGTCTGTCCAGCCAGTGGGGAGGCTGGCCTGGGTGGCTGCAGCACCAATGGGAGCAGTGGGGGCTGTGAGCAGGAGCTGGGCCTAGACCTGTCTAAGAAGAGCCCCCCCTTGCCCCCTGCCACCCCTGGTCCCCCTCTCACCCCTGATGACCCGGCCCAGCTGAGTGACAGTCAGCACGGCTCACCCCTCTCGGCCTCTGCCCCTCCCATTGCCAACAGTGCCTCTTACACTGAGCTGGGGGGCACCCCCAGTGAGCCCATGGATCTGGAGGGGCCTGAGGACAACCACCTGAGCCTGTTGGAGGGGCCCAGTGGGCAGTCCCGGAAGAGCCTGCGGCACTCGGCCCGCAAGAAGGAATGGAACAAAAAGGAGCCCATGGCAAGTTCCCCCTTCGAGCGGAGGGACGTGGGGCCCAAGGGCTCCTGCCCAGGGGAGGAGAGCGAGGGGCTTGGGGACAGGGTTCCCAATGGCATCCTGGCCAACAGCGTAGCAGGGGGAGGCCCCAGCGGGCCCTACGGGGAGCCCCCATACCCCTGCAAGGAGGAAGAGGAGAACGGCAAGGACGGGAGTGAGGACAGCGGGCAGAGCGGGAGTGAGGGGGGCAGCGGCCACGCCAGTGCCCACTACATGTACCGGCAGGAGGGCTACGAGACAGTGTCCTATGGGGACAACCTGTACGTGTGCATCCCCTGCGCCAAAGGCTTCCCCAGCTCCGAGCAGCTCAACGCCCATGTAGAGACACACACAGAGGAGGAGCTGTTCATCAAGGAGGAGGGCGCCTACGACACGGGCAGTGGGGGCGCTGAGGAGGAGGCCGAGGACCTGTCAGCGCCCAGTGCAGCCTACGCCGCTGAGCCCCGGCCCTTCAAGTGCTCGGTCTGTGAGAAGACCTACAAGGACCCGGCCACCCTGCGGCAGCATGAGAAGACACACTGGCTGACACGGCCCTTCCCCTGCAACATCTGCGGCAAGATGTTCACGCAGCGTGGCACTATGACACGCCACATGCGCAGCCACCTGGGCCTGAAGCCCTTCGCTTGCGACGAGTGTGGCATGCGCTTCACCCGCCAGTACCGCCTGACGGAGCACATGCGCGTGCATTCAGGTGAGAAGCCCTACGAGTGCCAGCTCTGCGGGGGCAAGTTCACCCAGCAGCGCAACCTCATCAGCCACCTGCGCATGCACACCTCCCCCTCCTAGAAGCCAAAGACCTTCTCTGGCCTGCGGGTGCCCTCTGTAGACTCGCCCTCGGGAACAACGGAAGGAAGAAGCAAGGAGGCCGGGTGGGCGGACCCGGACCCCAAATCCAGCGAGGGTGGCTCCTGGTGGTACCTCCAGCCAGCCCCCGCACCCAGAGCTTTAATCCACAGTCTGTACCAAGGGAAGAGAGCAGAGGAAGGCCGGGTCCTAAGCCCCAAAGGTATTGTGGGTGTGCATTCTACCTCTGGATCCTGCCCAGGCCCCTGGCTCCCCCCTCAGGGCTGCCACAGGGCCTGTGGGAGTGGGTCGAGGGGACCCGGCCTTGCAGGTCAGGTCTGGGCAGGGGCTAGTGGGGACCTTCCTCTGTGCTGGGAGGATCAGGGCTGCCTGTGGCCAGGGGCAGTGTCTCTACAGGCACGAGCATAGTCTGTGCGGCCGCCTTAGCTCTAAGGGGAGCGGTGCTGGGTGAGCAGTGTTGGCGGGAGTGGGCGGAGCCCTCCCTCCTGGAGTCAGGGGGCCCCACCGCCTACCTCTCCACAACTAAAGAGCCCTCTGGGCCTGTGTTGCTGTTATTCCTACTGATCTGTTCTTTTTTCCTTTATGAGATTTGTTTTTTAAACCAAAACCAACAGAGTTTATTTTCCTCCCGGCCCCTTGGGGCCGAGCCTGGGTCTGCAGACTGAATGTATGGGGCAGTTGCCCCTCCCGCCCTGGCTGCAGGCTGCGGGGCGCCCACCCCCCCAGGCCCCAGAAGCCCTTCTTGGCCAAAGGCTTCCCTGGGCCCCGAGCCCCACCTCGGCTGCCTCAGGAGAGAGAGTGCTTTTCCTATAGTTTCCCAGGAATCTTCTTTGTTTAGAGGTACTTGTTTTTTATTAAGACAAAAACCAGTGTAATGTTTATGTGAATGTTTGAACTGGAAGGTCTGGGGTTCAAGGGGGGAGGGGGGAGGCTGGACCGGGTGCCAGGGCCGTCGGTACTCTTGTTTTCCTTTTCTTTGTGTGCGTGGTGTGCGCAGTGTGTGTGGGCAGGTGTTGCGCTTTCCTTCTTCCTTACCTGTCAAGGTGGAGAGACTTCTGACCTTTTGCTACCTCTTGAAATTCATGAAGAACAGTAAGTTGGTGACTGGCAGTTGAGGCCGTGACACTTTTGTTTTCCTCTTCTTAGCGCACGCAGGCGTTCAAGTGCACAGCCCTGGGCCCCACCACGCACACCACGTGCTCAGTGAGGCTTCTGCAGCTTTGGAGTCTTAGGGCTCATGTGTGGCTTTTCTTCTGAGCACAGGGCTAGCCATGGCCACTGAGGGTATCTGAGTGTGTTGCTGAGAGCCAGGGAGCCCCGCCCAACACCAGTCTGGGCCCAGGAGAGGGTGTGAGTGCTCCAGCCCTGTGGGAGCCAGGTTCTCAGCAACGGGGAGATCGAAGCCAGCTCTTTGCAGCTCCCTGCGAGGGCCGGGATGAGGTGGAAGTGAGCCCCCCTCCCATCCTGTCCCCTGGGCCTGCAAGAGCCTGAGCTTGTGAAAGCAGCAGCCTGTCTAGCCATTGTGAGCAGGTGCTACCAATGTGGAGGGGTGAGGAAGGGCCGACCAAAGCGTTATGTGCCCCCTGCTACTGTTCTCAAGGCTGGCTGCCACCCTTTGGCCCAGCCCTGTCTGGGGTTCCATCCCTTGCCCCTCAGGTTTCCTCTGCCAGCCTCAGACACCTCCACCGGGTGAGAGCCTGGCTCCGGGGCTGGACCGAGGTTGCCGAAGTTGGCTTCACTGTCCTCAGCTGCCTGGAGCCACAGGACTGGGCCGGCGGCTTTATCTTCATTTTGCTTCGTGCTTTTGCTTTTTATTTTTTCTTTCTACTTTAAGTTCAGACCAAAAAAATTCTGGAGTCATCCCCTACCCTTACCCTTCACCCTTCCAGAGACCCTCCAGCTAAAATCAGAGCCTGAGTTCAGGGACTCGAGTGGTGAATGGTGTGTTTGGGAGTGAGGGCCCCTGAGTGAGCCCTTGTGTGGTGCCCCCAGGCTCGACCAGCTCTTCTTCCCTCTGGGTGGGGAGTGGAGGGCTGGGGCCAGGGCCTCTTGTTCCAGCAGGTCAGTGAGGGGGCAGGGCCTGACGCGGGCCCCTGTGCCCTCCCCACCCCCGCCTACTCCATCAGCACTTAAGCCACACGACACAAAGTCTGTACTGCACGGGAGGTGCACGCACGCCCGGCCCGTGTGTGGCCTCCCGGCCGCGGGCAGCCGAAAACGTGAGGCGTCCTGTGGAAGCAGGTGATCCTTCGCAGAGCTTCAGGGAACGGGCGCAAAGGCCCCTCACTCAACGCGTTCGCGCGACGTAGTATTGTACCCACCTGAGTATTGTATCGAGCCTTTTCTGTATTTTAACAAGAAAGCAGAACACTAGTTTCCTATTTAAGATTTTAAGGGTTTGCGGGCGGGGTGGGACTGACACAACACTTGGTTTTGTTTTCTTTCTCCTCTGGTCTCACGTGGAGTGTGCTTGCGAGCGAGTGCGTGGAAATGTGTCAAGAGCTTCACAAGGAAATTGGGCCGTTGGAGGCCGAGGGCGGCTTACAGTTCTCTGCTTTAGTCACTTAGTTCCTGAATGTTTCGGAGAAACAGGAAACAGAAAACAGCAGACGTCATGTAGGAAAGAGGATAAACAACAACAAGAAGAAAAAAGAAAAAAAAAGCTCATACCCAAATTCACAAAACCTATTTTTTAAACCAAAGCACATTTTGAATGAGTATGGAACCTCAGCGGGCTCAGAAAAAAAGATACTAATATATTTATCTCATTGTTTACATAAACTTTTACAGTTTCAGACCTCAGCAGCTGTAAGGCCAGTCCCAGTGAGTCCCCACCTTCCGCTGGCGCTCCCAGGCAGAGGGCAGCTATGGGGCCGGTGCGGAGGCCCCTCATTCACCTGAGCCTTCCTTCCCAGCCCCGGGCCTCTCCAAGCCCAGCTGGCACCAAAGAGCTTGGGCCGGTGCTGACCAGCCCCCAGACCTCCTGGCAGTCCTGGCCAACTGGCACAGCAGAGGGTGGCCGTCGGCTCTGACCACAGGACCTGAGCCTGGGCTTGGGCCCCGGGATGGAGGCAAGCCTCCCCACGTGCTGCTCTGCCCGAGATCCCGGGGTGGGTTGATGTCAGGGTCCCTCTCAAGCCAAAAAGCCAGGACCTTTGCACGCCCATTGATTCTGGCTAGTCCCCGTCCCTGGGGACCCTGCCCCCCACCCCCGCCAGCAGTGGGAGGGGCTGACTGGGCTGGTCCTTACCAACACGGATGGTGCAGACACTCTCAACAGTGTTGTTTTTGTATCAATATGTTTGTGCAGTGATGAATGTATTTATTTCTCAGACTTGGGGCGAGCGAGGGGCAGGCCGGGCGCTGCCACCGCACGCTCCTGCCAGACCGAGCCACCGCGAGGGCTCGTCCAGGATTGCAAAAAAGAAACGACAAACCTTTAAGCAAATAATCTCAGAGACTCGCAGCATAGCCATACACCGCAGCCTGTGAAACGAACCACCCGGACCCGACTGACTCGCAGGACCTCGTGCAGCCACGCGTCCTTCCCCACCAGCCGCCACTCTGGGGGCGGGGCTCTCCCTGCCCCACCCTGTCCGTGTTCACTGGATCTGACCGAGTGCAGGAGTGCGATCTGGGGGGCGGGCTGGGCGGGCGGACCCCCGCCGCCCCCCCCTCCACAGCCGTCCTGAGTTGGGGTGAGGCCTGGGCAGCCGGGAGGGCAGGGCTCAGGGAAGAGGTCACTGCATCCATGCTGTCCCCTTGGCTTGGGGGACAGAAGCAGAGGCGCCAGGCCTTAGGAGAAGGAATGAGGACCTCAGCCCCGCCACGCCCCGTGGAGGGACCAAGGCCCTTGCTCTGCCCCAGAGCCGCGTTGGGGCGGTAGTTCTTGAGCCTGTGAATCTGATGCCAGGAGTGAGGGGCTGGAAAGGGACCTAACCAGAGCCTCAGTCTGACATTCCAAACCAGGGGGTGGGTGTGCACTGTGGGAATTGGGGCTGCCCAGTCCCCCCCAGCTTCAGTCACCCCACTTTAGTTTTCTACCGGGAACCCCTCCCCCTACCTCACCTTGCTATTTATTGCTGTAATTTATTGACCTCAGAAATGCTGCATAACAGACCTCACTTGGGGCAGGGAGGGTCCCCAGGGCTCCCCCCCCTCCACTTGGCGGGGCCCTGTGGGGCCAGGTGCTGAGGGGAACCTCCCTGTACCCTGCCCATCACTTGCTTTCCCCCTCCCCCCTTGGGGAAGCCCAGGTTGGGCACTGGCCCATTCATAAATACCTCGAGGGGGAGGGGGAGGGATGGGATTATAGCTGTTTGTTTAATTGGAACTGGAAGAGGGATCATGTCCTTTACGTCCTTCCCAGAAAGGGGGGGGGACACTGTGATCGCACTCCTGTACTGGCCACCGCCGCTGTCAGTCATCACATTGAGTTCACTTCCCTTGAGAGTTTGGATAAATTCAGGTCAGAGCTGCAAGTACGCAGCCCTTGAGTGTCATAGAAAAGCAATTCACCGACAACTGATCTCTCCATTCAGAAGCGTGCAGTCTTAATGTACAGTGATGAGAAACTGTTATTTTATGATCTTTTCATTAAAAGCTTGATTGAAAACTCTTTCATGGGGCCTCTGTGTTCCATGGCTGTTCTTTCCTGCTGAATGGCAAACTGCTTTCCTTTCTCTGTCCAGTTCTTCTGAGACCCAGGGGGTGGCAGCTGGGGTGGGCATCTGCCCACTGCTGTCCTAAGGGCAAGTCTCAAGAGGGGGCTGTGGAGCCCCCCAGGGTGGTGTGTGCCTCCCGGGGAGGGGCGCTGGTCCAGGAACTGGCTCTCGGGGTGGCGTCTTCTTGGGCGGCCTTGGCCTCAGTTTGCTGGTGCAGCTTAGGAAGCAGTGGATGTGTGGATAGGGTGTGGATCCGGTGGCCTGAACGAGGGGAGATGTGGCTTGTGCCCGGGACCACCTGTTGGAGCAGGAGAGTTGGGCTGGGGCTGGGGCTGGGCGGCAGCTCTCTCATGTCTGCTGCTGCTTCCTGCTTGGCCTTGGGGTCGAGAGTGATGGAGGAGGAAGAGAGAAGAGTCCGTCTCCAGGGGCAGGGGTAGTCAGATTTCCTGGAGGACTGTCCCTCCCAACCACCAGGATGGGATCCCAGGATAACTGAAGATGGAGGAGGAGGAGTGGGGATTGGGGCCAGGAGGGCAGTCAAGTAGACCCCTGACCCCATGCAGGGAGGGGAGCCGAGGCCTCACAAGTGCTGAGCCAGCCACGGTGCTTCTCACAGAAGGGGCCAGGGCGAGGGTTTCATGCCAAACCGGCCTGGAGCTTCTTAGCATCAGCACCTTGAAGAATAGTGAGGAGAAAGGTGAAAGGTGAGATGAAATACTCTGTTGCACCCTGAGCTCAAGCCAGGGAGAGGATGAGGGGGCCTTCCTAGGTTCAGGTTGTAGGCACTGTTCCCTTAAAACACGGCTCTCTCCAAAAGTCAGTGGAGGAAGATCGGCATCTACCAACTCCTCCTGGGTAGCAGAGAATGTTTGAGCCAAGGAAAGGAGCAGCCGTAGGAAAAAATTACTCTGCTGCCGTGAGGCCAGAACTTGTGATTGTCACAGTTGGCTCTGCATGCCCTGGGGTCAAAAAAAAAAAAAAAAAAAAAAGCCACCACCACCACCACCAAAAAAACACAACGGTTTCTATCCTCAGGCTGGGAGAGGTATCTCTGATGCCAAATATTTCCAGAAGTGTTTCCCACAGACCCTTCTATGAGGACATAGAAATTTCTAAGTTGTACAGCAAACGTAGAGGGAGGTTTTTTAAATGATTTTAACTTTTAGAGAGGGGAAGGGAGGGGGAGAGCAACGAATCGGTTGCCTCTCACACATGCCCCAACCGTAGGCTGAACCCACAACCCAGGCGTGTGCCCTGACCAGGAATCAACCAGCGGCTTCTCGCTTCATGGAATGACGCCCAACCCACTGGGCCACACCGGTCAGGGCCGCAGAGGAAGCTTTTGAGTAGCTCCTTCCCCAAACCCGGCAGAAGCCAGGGCACGCTGTGAAAAGCTCTTGGCTGTGCTGCAGAATGTTACTGTCGGCGGTCTGCCTCTTGGGCTGTTAGGCAGCACGCACACCTGCACTGACTGTCTTTCTGGACTCCGAAGGAGAAATCTGGACATATGTGAGACTTGGGCTTCAGCAGCCCAGGGACCCCATGCGTGCTGTCCAGTCAACTAGCACAGGCTAGACTTGGCCCCGCGGCCCTGGGCCTCGGGGAGGAAGATGCCAGCGGGGAGACAGCGGGAACCGGCACGTACTGTGCACCTAAGGGGGAAGCCACCGAGTGGCTGGCAGGGAAAGACAGTCACTCGGGCTGCGATGGCACATACAATCTCGCTGGGAGCCTCGTGCAGTGGAGGGACCAGTATGGAGCGTGAGGGTTGCCTGGCCACCGAGTGTGGCCAGTGGGTGGCACAGGGAGAACCGGGAACGGACTTCCCTGAGGGCTAGGCCAGAGGAAGCTGGGCTCTGCATTGGTTTGGGCCCTCTTCTCCCGCAGTGTGGAGAGGAGAGACCCCAGTGCAGGGGAGGGGCTGTGACAGGGAGGCCTCGGTTAGGCGAGTCCTTGGTGTTGGCACCACCTCTACATTTCCCCAAAGTGAGCCTGGCTTCAGGAGAGCCCTGGTGGCCTCCCCTGGCAGGATGAGCTGAAGGGCAGGTGGGATTCCTCGGAATGTTGTAGCCTGTCTGCTGGGAAACCCAGACACACACAAAGGACAGTATAGGGAAGCTCCTCATCTCATTGTCAGGAGTGACTGCTCTGTCACTTTGAGTCTTTAACAATTAAACTGAACTTGTGCTGACTGCTGTGGCTCTGTATTGAGCGCTGGCCTGTGAACCAGGAGGTTGCTGGTTCGATTCCTGGTCTGGGCACAGGCCTGGGTTGCAGGCTCAGTCCCTGGTTAGGGCGTGCAGGGGGCAAATGATTGGTTTCTCCCCCTTACTCCCCCTCTTTCTAAAAATAAATAAAATCTTAAACAGGAGTTCTACGTGAGGAAGAGCTGTGATGGAAATTGGTCAAGTAGGACCACAAAGATCAAGGTCAGGAAAAGTGATGACAGAGCAGTGATCCCAGGGAGGGCTGCCCCATATGCGCAGACCAGCATGTGAAGAGTCCTGAGACATTGAACTTGTGACTCCTGGGTGGGATTGAAACGGAGTTCACTTCGGCTGTAGGGGAAAAGAGCAACGGGTTAGGAGGTGGGCAGGACCGAACAGCGGGGACCTGGTGTGCCATGCTAAAGAAGTTGGGATTTTGGATTTTATCCAAGTGAATGGGTTTTTGTTGTTGCTTAAAGCCACGAAACCCTTTTGATCAAATAGTTGTTTACTAGGCAGCGCCTCCACTATCTGGTAGGCCGGTTAAATATTTTTCCATTGTGCAAAATTTAAGTTTTCAAGCACAAAAAAAGGGGGCTCTACACAAAAGGTATAGATTTTATTACTGTTCTTTCTCTTATTCAACAGAGCGTCGTGTAGATGTTGTCACCAGACCGCAATAAACATGAAATTACTGCATCTGCCGTAAAGACGGGGGCGGAGCGGGCCGCATGCACAGACACCACAGCGCCTGTGGCGGGGAGCTGGCGGTGTGCCAGGAAGCTGGGGACCCACAGCTGTGGGATCTCAGTGCTGGCTTTACAGGGGTTCACTCTAAAATCTCTCACCTCCTTTGTAAGTTTGAAAATTTTCGTAAGTTCACCAATTCCTTAAATTCTTAAAATTCATAAAAATTGGGGAAAATGATGCCTACCTGTGGTAGGCTATTTCTTTATAATCAACTATAATTTCAAAAGGACCAAGACATTAAGGAATCTCTAGGGTGGTGCAGGGGGTCACTCAGCCGGCACTCCCCCCTTCCTGTTCTGAGTGGCCCTCAGTGGGATGGCCTGACTCAGGCCAGTGTCGCCCTAATGGGTGCCTGGGAAACTGACATGGAGATGCTGGGAGAAGACTGGGTGGAACCCAGCCTGGGAGAGGAGGGTATTGAACCTGAGTCCTGAAGAAGGGGCAGGACTGGGCCACACGGGCTGGCTGGAAAGACAGGTGAGTGCTTCTTGTGGGAGTGGGGTGGGGGCCAAAGGCAGGGCCTCTGCAAGAGTCGGACCCAGGTGGGCTGCTCCCTGGCAGGGCTCCGAGGCACCAAGGCCAGGATGGTCTGTTTCCATGGCTACCATGGCCCACACCTTATCCCCCTCCCTCCAGGCCACTGAGGGGAAGCGGCTCAGGTTTCACAGCTGTATAATTAGCCTCCTTGCAGAGATTTTCCCTGTCCATATAGGGGTGTAGGGGTGGATGGGGAGGGGCTGGTCTGTCCCATGGGACACCCCTGGCTGTGGGCATCCCCAGAAGCACCCACCAGCTCACCCTCCACAGCTGCATAACCGTAATAAATGTGCCAAACCTGTTGGAAGATGGTGAAAGCTGAAATGGGGGACCCCCCCCAGATTGGACAGAAATGCTCTGTTCCCGAGCAGATCATGAAAGAGTGGAAAGTGTCCATTCTTCCTTTTTAATAGACTAACAATGTAGGGGACTTTTTTTTGCAATCCCCATACAAATGCCAACAAGGTACTTGGGGAATTTTGACAAGACAACTCTGCAGTTTGTCTGGAAGAGAACTGACTGATCCTAAGTGGTTGCCTCACCCCCGGGCCCTGCGTCCTCCTGGAAGGGGCAGCAGCAACAAGCAAACACACACCTGCCCCTGCCCCAGGAAACGCTGTCCCGCTGAGGGGCCCCTATTACAACCTGTCTGTGGGGATTCAATCCATGGGGGTCTTGAAAGAGAGCAGACTCCACGGCTGGCGGACAGACATTCAGTGGTTGGAAAAAATGAGTATTAGATGCAGGTCTCTGGATTCAGATCAACCTGGGTTTGAACCCAAGGGTGGTGGTGGGGCCTCTGGGGACACGTGTGCCCTCATGTCCCTCTGTGAGCTGAGGACCTAAGTGCCACATTGTTGGGGGTGTAAGGATTGAAGTAGTTCATCATGTGCCTGGGGAGGCAGACAGTGAGGATGCACAGCACCTACCGTCCCCATCCCTGTGCCACCTAGGGTTTACCTTTGACCTCTAGGGGACAGATTCCAACACCAGAGAGGCCAAGAATAAAGTTATCCTGTCCCCCCCCCCCCGCCGTGGGCTGCTCACTGCATGGCGTCACATTCGTACACGTACACGGATCATAAGTAACCAGCAGTCCTTTGCTACATAATAGACCTTGTGCAGCAAACAAAATGCACCACCCCCAAAACCCAGCGGCTTAAAACCAGAGCCACTTTGTTTGCTCTTGGTTCTCCTGGGTCAGCGCCTTGGGCCAGGCTGGGCTGGGCTCGGTGGGCAGTTCTGCAGATCTTGCCAGGGGTCTGCAGTCATCTTGCAGCTGTCCAGGGCTGCGTGGTCCGAGCCTGCTGCCGGCCCACCAGGCTTCTTCCCTCGGTGGAAGAGAGGAAGAGAGGGGCTGGAGGGCTCTAAGGCCCAGCCTCACAAATCATCATGGCCTCCTAATGGTCAGAGCCAGACACGAGGGTGAGCGCAGATTAACGAGCTGGGAACTGGGTCCTCCTGCTGATGGCACAGCGACCATCATGTATGTATGTTGGTCGCTTTTTAAGCTACTGTAAGAAACTTTAACTTCAGTCTTTGATTTCTCAACATTAGCCAGGGGAGACCCAGCTCTGGGATACAGCATGCTTCCTGAACTCCACTTGGTATCTGCAGAGCTGTCACGTGCAGGGCCTGCACTCCTGGTGATCCTCTGCTGGCCCCCCGGGGCACAGTGCACATGACTCTCACCTCATCCGAGGTCCTTGCACGCCTGTTTCCCCGCCCCCAATCCTGTGCTCCTCCTCATCACCATTCCCACCTCCCACTCACCCCTATGTATTTAGTTAATGTAAACATCACCATGGGTACCTCTCACCACACTTCCTATATTTTTACAGTCAGCATTATTCTCAGGTCTCTTCATATTGATTTTAGTTGATCCTACTCATCTTAAGTGCTCTGCCAGATTCCTTTGGAAAATTTCATGTATTACATTTTGCTCTCTGATTCCCTGACATTGGCGGAGCACTTAGGCTGTTCCCAGTGTTTTTGTGAACCTGTTAGAAACTTCCTTTGGAGTGAATGCTCCTTAGTGGTGTCGAGGTCATGGGGGTCGACCACCCCTGGTCACCCTTTGAGCAATCGTTCCCCCAAATGGCTCACAATGATGCTGGTCGCTGTGCATTCGCTCACATCATTGCTTATATTTGATGTCAGCCCAGGTCTGAATGCTGGCTGCTCTGCAGGATGGAAAGTGCAGCGTCTCGCCCGCTCTTGGTGGTGTTCAAGTTCTTCCCTTGGGCATTGTCCCATGAGGCCCTTTGATGTTTGCTCTTTCTTGCGGTGGCCCAGGATTTCCCGTATCATCTAGTCATTACTGATCAACAGACTACAGAGATCACAAAGATCCTTTCCCATTCTACCACCCAGAATAACATTCTGCCACCCAGGTATAACATTTGCCCTTGGTATCTTTTTGTTCCCAGTGGATTGTTTTTGAGATACAATTGCATAATGTTCTGTGGGATGTGCTCATGTACTCAGCCTCCGATCAAGATAGAGAGCAGCGTTGCTGTCACCCGTGTCTTTTGAGAAGCAAAAATTCCTAAACTTGACATAAGCAAATGCATTCACTTTCTGTCCACAGATTGTGCTTACTGTGTCCTGCTTAAGAAATCTTCCTCCACACCAATGTCACAGCCTTCTCCACTTAAGCCTTTGATCCTTCTAGGGTAACTTTTTATAAAGAACGTGAAGTAGAGATCTACTTTTATTTCCCTTTTTATCATGAGCTAGTTTTCCCAGCACCATTTGTCATCATCCACCACGTCCCATACCTTCATCTTGGTGTGATCCCCATTTACTGGTAGCTTCCTTAGGAATGAGTATGTACCCTAGTTGGCCCGTGAAGTATGAGGGAAACTATGGGAAGCTTCTTCCTAAAAGGGACCTGCGCCTAGGCGCCCCCTACTGTCCATTGTGACGCACGCGGGCGCTGGTCCCCGAGATCAGCGGCGGCGGTGGGGCAGAGCCGGGGGAGCCATGTCCGAGACGAAAGAGCTGATGCTGCAGCTGCAGAAGGACAACCGCGACGGGCGCCAGAGGAAGCAGGAGCTGGAGGAGCTGGTACGCGGGCTCGAGGCCGAAAGCGAGAGCCTTACCGGGCGCCTGCAGGACCTGCGCGAGCGCGAGCGCAGGTGTGCAGGGAGCGGGACTCCACTCGGTCCTGCGGGCGGCTGCACCCGTGGCTTCGCAAAGCGTCCGACCGACCCGTCAGTCATTCTTCCCCTGCCCGCCCCGAACCTCTGCTCTAGGCAGTCGGGACCTGGGTGCTTAGGGGAATCCCCGCAGGGGAGGGTGGAGTCTTGGTGCGCGGCGACCCGAGATGGGCTTCCTCGGCCCCTACCCACGGCTGGGTCTTTCCCTGGGCCGCGGGAGCCTCATTTTTCCCTCTGCAGCCTGCAGCGGAGGCGAAGCCAGGCCGCGCGGGCCCTGCGCGGGGAGGCGCGCGAGGCAGCGCGGGAGCGCGCGGAGCGGGCGCGCGGACTGTTGGAGGCAGCACAGCAGCGCAAGCAGGACCTGGTGGGGACAGGGCCCTGGACGGGACGGTGCTTACGGGAGGTGCGGGTGGAGAGGACCAGCCCTGAATTGGGCGGGGTCGTGGATGGGGTGGGGAAGGCGGCAAGGGTAGTACTTCGGAAGGCTCGGACGCTCCCTCGATTCTGTCCGCAGGAGCAACGTAGTCGGCAGCTGCAGGAGCAGTGGGAAGAACTGTCAAGTCAGGTGCGTTCAGGAAATGCCGTTTCTTGCATCCCCTAACAAGTGCCACTCAGGTCCGTGTCTCTGTTCCGTCCCGTGCCCACCTCCCAGTATATCCCTCGCCCTTAGAAGCCCGCAAACCCCACCCTCACAAAGCTCCACCCCCAGTTATTTTACTATGGAGGGGACCAACTCAGTCGGCAGCGCGCGGAGCAGCAACTCGGGACCCAATTGCTAGCATTGCAGGTACTTTGGTAGGGCCCCGAGGGCTGGAGCAGCGGCGTGGGCGGGACCATGAGGAGACCTGGGGCGAGTGGGGTCCGGAGGGCCAGCGGCGCGGCCGTAAGGTGCGGCGGGATGCTCGGCCCGGCCGGGCTTCTGACCTTCCTTGGATCCAATGGAAGAAACAACTGGAGTTGCTGGAGGCCAAGCACGCGATGCAGGCGGAGGGCTTGCGTCAGGTGCGGGCGCAGCCGGGTCTGAGGGAGAGGGTTGGCTTCGGATGCGGGTGGAGTCTGGTCCCGTGCAGAAGAGTGGACAGCGGTGGGAATGCCTACCCCTGAGTCTAATCGAGGCTCCCCTCACCCTAGGGCGCACAGCGGACAGAGGAGGCCTGGGCCAGTTTCCAGGAGCAGAGCGGAGTCCTGCAGGTGCTGCCCCCTCTACCTTGAGAGCCACTCATCTCTGACTCCCCTGCGGCCTCTATCCCTCCTTCCCGAGCAGAGACAGCCCGCCTTCCGCTCCACCCTCCCCCTCCACCGACGCCTTGCCCTGTCCAGAAACCTCACCCCCCAACCCCCTTCAGGAGCTGCAGGGGAAAGTGATGGAGGCGGCGGCTGCACTGGATGCCTCGCGAGGCAGCGCGGAACTGTAAGGGACGAGGACTGTTGGGTGTGGCGGGGCGACTGTGGTTCGGGCAGATGGGCCCTATCGAAGCCTGTTCCCGCAGTTGCAACTCTCAGTCACGCCGGGTGCAAGACTGCGCGGGGTCCCTTATGGAGGAGGTGGCCAAGGCCGAGTGTGTGAGCGCATACCCGGGCGGGGAGGGCTGGAGCCAGGACCGCCCCCACCGGAGCCCGACCTCTGCCAAATCCGCCCCAATGGGGCTCCCCCTCACACCCACGGGGATCCGCCTCCCCATGAGGACACCACCCCTTCGACCGACCCGCCCTCACGAGGATCCCAACTCGCGGGGGACTGGTCCCGGTGGTTCCCGCCCCTTACGTGAGACGCCGCGCCGCTCCCCTGCGGCGGCCGTAGAACTGGACGCCACTCCTCCCCCCGCAGAAGAAGCGGCTATTTTGCAGCGCGGGCGCGACGGGCAGCAGGTGGGCCAAGGGACTGGCCGCGGGAACGCGGGGCTCGGGTCCGCCCCCAGACTAGTACCTTGCGGCATTCGGCCGGTTTGTCTGTCCGTGCGTCCTTTGGCCCGCAGGTTGTGGGCACTGAGCGCGCTGCAGATGCTGCTGCTGCTGCTGCCGCTCGGCTTTCTGGCGCTGGCGCTGCTCTACCTGCTGCTGGTTAACCCCGAAGCCTTCGGCCGCCTGCTTCCGCGCCTGGTGTCGGACACGGCCTTCCGCCGCCTGCGCTATACGCTGTCCCCGCTGCTCGAGCTGCGCGCGCGCGGGTTGCTGCCCGCCTAGGATTCATCACGTCGGCCGCGGTCACCTGCACCTCTGTCTCTCGTGTGGTTTCTGGGTGTCTGGGGGAAGCCAAGGGGAAACACCTGTGGGTGGGTCGTGTGCCCCTCGGCGCCCAGCGGCAGGCTCTAACACCTCGTCCTCAGTGGGCGGGGGGCCTTCCAGGCGGACGCTGGGTCTAGAGAGTTTGTCTCGGGCGCTCCGCAGCAAGGGGGCGATCCGGCCCAGAGCCTCTGGCTTGAGTGGGGTGCGCCTTCGCCTGGTGCTCTCACCAAGGGGCTTCCGGGCGGCATTGCGGGGAGGCCCTTTCCTACAGCCCGTGCTGCTGCCCTGGAGCCAGCTGGGAATTGGTCTGTATCTTGTTAAACTTGCCTTTTTTTTTTTTTTTCTCTCCCTTTGCTAGTGAGCCTAGGGCGGTAGCGGAAATTGGGGAGGGAGCTGGTCGGTCTGGTCTCCTTGGTGGTCTGTGTCCTTTGGCCCTGCGGTGCGGTTGTTATTCAAGACCTCCGCAGCGTCCCTTTGTTAGTTTTCTTGAGATGGATTCTCCGCAGAGCGGGGCAGCTTGGCGGTCCTCCCTTTGGTCCGCTTCCATGTCCGTGCTCGCGGCTTCGGTCTTTCAAGGGGAATTGTCTTATTTATGTGAAGTGTTCTGCTTAGTGGCAATGATGAACCTTGGTTTCATTTTGTCTGATACAAACACTGCTCTAATTTTACTTACTTTTTTTTAGTAATGAAATTGTTCTATGATCTTGTACACACAAGTGTTTTTGTTGTGGCCTTTAAGCAATCTTTTTTGTTTTTTTTAATTGATTTGTATCCTCTAACCTTTTTTTGGTTAATTTTGTTTATGGAATGCTGTGTATCCAGTTTTATCAAATTTAAGAATTGTGCAGCGTCTTTAAAAAATCCATTCTTGCCCGGAAGTCGTAAGGACATTCTTATAGTCCAAATACTTTTCACTGGTGTAAATATTTTGTTTTTCCATCCATCCATGGGTACGTACTTGGGTTTATGATGCAAGAATCTTTTTGCATTTTAATCCACATTTTAGACTCAGCTTGTCAATTTCCATAAAACAGTCTGGGATTTTGATTATGCTGAATTTAGAGGCCAATTTGTAAATAATATACGTCTTCCAATCTAACACGATGTCATTCTCTATTTTTTAAAAAATTTCCCTCAGGAATGTTTTGTGTTTTTTAGCATAGAGGTCTTGCACATTTTTACATTTATCCGTGGGTATTTGATTTTTTTGGATGCTATTATAAACAATATAGATTTTTAGAGATTTTAGTCATTTATTTTTAGAGAGAGGGGAAGAGGAAGAGAAACAATTGGTTGTCTCTTGTGCCCCCTCCCCCAAATGTGAACCTGCAACCCAGGCCGGGACCCTGACCTGGAATCTGACTGGTGGCCTTTTGTTCTGTGGGACGGTGCCCAGCGAAGTGAGCCGCACCAGGCGGGGCGGTATAGATTTTTAGTTTCATCTTCCAGCTGTTCATTGCTAGCATCTAGAAATGCACTGACTTTTGTATATGAACCTTTGATTCTGTGATAGCGCTGAACTTCCTTATCGTTCTTTGCTCTTTTCTGTACATTCCTCAGGATTCTGGAGACAGTTTTATTGTTATGAAGCAGGACAATTTCTCTTTTTCTTTTCCAATCTTTCTTTTTCCATGAAAGGGATGTTGCTCTATATTGGAATATCCCTGTGTTATTTTAGTATCAGGGCTATGCCGCCTGCACAAAAAATGAATTGGGACGTGTTCTTTCTGCTTTCTGAGAGTGTGTGACGTTGGCGTTACTGCTTCCTTCCGTGTTCAGCCCGGTGGCCTCCAACCCTCTCCATCTCGTGGCACATGTAAACTCATCACTAAAACTCGGTGGCACACCAAAAAATATTTTTCCCAGTCTGACAAAAAATTAGGTGTAATTTTGATTCATTCACACCAGACAGCTAATGTTGTATTGGCTGCTGCCTTTTTTTAATTTGGCGTAAGGGAGAAGAGGTCAGTGCCCCAACTGAACAGTCAGGCACTGCAGGCTTTAAAGATCCCTGGGGCCACCGGGTGAAAATTGCTGGTTCAGACTCATCTTGGCTTTATGATGGAGTTATCATATATTATGTGGACTAATATGATTATAATTATATTACATATAATTACATAGATTACATATAATTGTTATTATACCTAAATCATTTTCCTTTAACACAGAAGACTGTATGAATTGTATTATAAATATCTTCCCAGGGCTGAGGCATGCCCTTCTTTCATATGGTCCAAATTAGTTTGTTCCCTTTTCTTGTGTGTGTGTTTCCTGAGACGAAGACATTCTCTTCTGTGCTTTCTTCTGAAAACCTTTAACGTTTACCTTTAACATACAGCTCTGTAGTCCACCTGGAAGTGATTATGTCACAGGTGAGGAGGTAGGTGGTCGGGATTCTTTTTCTTTCCTACAGTCTCCTACTGAAAAGCCCATGTCTCTCCCCTGGCCCTGCCTGTCTCTGCGTTTGTGGGAGGGCTCCTGGGCTTCGTCTCTCTGTTATTTATTCATCTTTCCCGGCACCAGGTAGCAATGCTGTTTCAGCTACAGTGTTTCAGGGTAAGCGCTGATATCTAGGTTTGCTGGTCCTCAAGATGGAAATAGCTGTGTTTTCTTCACCTCTTGCCAAGTCCACTATACGTCTTCCCAGGGTTTTGATTGGCGTTGGCAGTGAAACTACAGACCAGTCTGGGGAGAACAAATATCTTCTTTTAATCCATGAATGTATTACTCTGTTTAGATCTTTCAACAGTTGTAGTTTTCAGTATTTCTTATGAACCTTTCATTGGGTTTATTTCTTGGTAATGGATGTTCTGCTACGCAGCTGTAAATGGTATTGTTGTAATTTCAGTTTCTCCTTTGTTTCGAGGTAGACACACACACACACACACACACACACACACGACTTTTATATATTGACCTGTATCCTATAACCTTGACTATACATCATGTTTATACACGATTTCGGATTTTTACGTACACAGATGCCATTTCTGAGTTTTATTTCTCCTTACTGTTTCTGTTTCTGGCCTGACCGGGCTGGCTCAGGCCTCTGGGGCTGGATGTTGAGGAGGCGTGCAGCAGGCGTGGGCCCCCCTCTTTGCACAGGAGTCACGGCTTTTGGTGCTCCGCCTGTAAGCATGCGGGGTTTTTGCAGACTTACCAAGCAGGTTCCTGGTCTTTCAGGAATGGCTGCATTACATCCGTTGAGACGGTGGCTGGCATCTGTTACACCCTGTCCTGAGCGCACACCAAGCTCTGCTAACAAACTCCTCGAAGGCATCAGGCTCTTTCTTGGGTTGGTCTTTTTTCTCCCACATCATCAAAATAGGAATGTGATTGTTCTTAAGATGTTTTATTTCTTTTTTTTTTTAGTTTCTAAAGAGACCTTATTTTCTTGTCAGTTTATGGACTTTAGATTTTTCTCTCCCGTATTGTAAATAGCACTTACAATTTTTCAAGACAGATGATTTGCCGTATTGCCAGAATCTTGTACATAGCATTTGCTTGACTTTCTTTTTAAAGCCAATTTGACAAACTCTTTTTTCAATTATTGCGGAATGAAATGATTTCTACTATGTTTGAATGTATTTCTGCTCTGTTATGTTTATCCTGCCTTTTCTATGCTTTCCCCCTTCCCTTCCTTATCTTGTTTGATCTTTCTGGAAGTTACACCCTTATTATGGTTGCCTTCTACTTGACCTTGGCTCATCTCTACTGCCCTCCCCAAACACTACCTTAAAGCATGTGAACTCTGATATTCCATCAGATCTAACCTGTATTTAAAAAAAAAATTCTCCCCAGAGGCCATATTTATTGAGCCTAGAACTAAAGGGAGAGGGAGAGAAACATCAGTTGGTTGCCTCCTGTATGCGCCCCAACTGGGGATCAAACCCTCAGACTTTTGTTGTGCAGGACGACACTCCAGTCGAGCAAGCCATCCAGCCAGGGTGGGTATTACATGTATTTTTACTGTTTTAGTTCCACTCTGTTTTTAAGAATTTATTGTTTAGAAGGGAAGGGAAGGAGAAAGAGGAGGGAAACATCAATGTGTGGTTGCCCCTCATGCGCCAACTGGAGACCTGACCCTGAAACCCAGGCATGTGCCCTGACTGGGAATCGAACCAGCGACCCTTTGGTTCGCAGGCCCATGCTCAGTCCACTGAGCTACACCAGCCAAGGCTCCACTCTTAATTTCTCAATATTTAGGGTTCTTCCAGGTGTGTTGCTATTGATTTGTAACTTAATTCCATGTATCAGAGGAGACACCTTGCGTAATTCCGAGACCTGTTTTGTGGCCCAGCATTCGTCCTGCGATGGCAAACAGGCAGTGCGTTGTTGCTGCTGATGGAGGACGTTTAATAAAATGCCCATCAGGTCAAGGTGGGTGATGTAGTTGTTCAGGTTTCCTGTGGTCACTCTCTTGCTACGTCTGTCAGTTGTGGAGAGAGTGGTGTTGCAGTCTCCAGCTCTGATAGTGGATTTATTTCTCCCTTGAATTCTGTCAAATTTTGCTCCATGAACAAACAGCCACACCGATTATGGGTGGTACATCTTTTTCCCTCTCTTTACTTTCACCTTAGGGGTACGTCTTTGTATTTAAAGGGCATTTGTTTCACATTTTTGTTTCTAGTCCCTGCATTTTAATTGGAGTGGCTGGTCCATTGATATTTTACATAATTAATGATGTAGTCGCACTGAAGCCTACCACTGCATGGTAACTCTGTCCTATGGTATTTCTTCTCTTCCTCATTTCTTTTTTTTTGGATTAATTTAAACATTTTGGAAAATATTTTATTTATTTTTAGAGAGGGAAGAAGGGAGGAAGAGAGGGAGAGAAACATTGATCAGTTGCCTCTTACATGTCCATAACCCAGGCATGAGCCCTGACTGGGAATCAAACCGGTGACCTTGTGGTGTACAGGCTGGTGCTCCACCCACTGAGCCACACTTGCCAG